GTATGTACTGTATACGTATTGTTCATCTCTCATTGTTAATCGTATTTTACTCTTACAAAGACTGGCAAAGTTCTAACTTCAATAAAAATATCGAATAAATTAATCTCGTTATTCGAATGAAATTTAATTGCTACGCTTCGTACATAAAATTCTTTATTATAGAATGCAATGTTGTTAACGTAAATGCAGTATCAATGTCATGGAAAATAATTTTTCGTCGAAGCTCTATTTCGACGCGTACGGGGGGTTATTACCCATGTAAAAACTGTGAAACGTTTCTGTAAAGAACTTTTTTGCATGTCCAACAGCAGTACAGATCGGATCAGAGGGATGAAAGTTTGGAGGGTAACTTCGTATCTTAAACTTGAGTTATCGCGGACAGGGTGAAACGAGTCAAACGTATCGCCGTTAGGGGTCCCGAGTTTCGCGATACTCTGTCCAAGGAACGAGTCGAAGAGAAAAAGTGGTGGAAAAAATGAGCGTCCGTAAAAGTTGGCCACATCATAGCAAAAGGTGGGATCGTTTACGCGGCCTTTGTCGCGGCTACCTTTTTACCCAACACCGCATTTTATTTCCCGGAAGGTCCTTCAGTTTGCTTTGCATAATTGAGGAGGTTCCTTGAGGAGCAGTAATGAACTCGTGACCCGATTCCGAGGCGAGGAATCGTCTTTGAGCCGCCGGCGAGCCATGAAATCAATTAAACGATTTGTTACGGATAAACTTTCTCTTCCTGCGACTCAATGAATATGTCGGGGGCCGATTGAATATTCACGAATCGGTATACCACCCCGGAATTACGATCCTTTAACGCGAATTTGTCAATCGACCCCGGAATAAGGTTAATTTCGCCCATCGATCCGGATAATAGCAGAACTTAAGAGTTTCTTTCTTGGGTAATGAACGGTCCGCGTTTGCGTTAAGCGTTTGTATTGAAACTTCGCGAAGAAAGGGAGGATTTGGAGGAGGTTCACCAAATCGATTTAAAAAGAACTTGGAACACTCTAAATAATTTCTTATTAAAAATTCGAGAAAATTCACAACAGCGTTCCCAATAATTATAAGCGATTATTTGTCACCGTGTATTTTTTAACGACGTCATTCGTTAATTTTTATCGCGCAACGAACACAGCCCCACCGTGCGGGGGCGTTAGCGTGACCGTCGATCGGTAGTAGCTAACGACGCCAAAAGTTGTGTAAATCAGAGCCACCTGTTCGCGGACACCTGCGCGTTGGTCTCACCCTTTAACCGCTCAGTTTAGTTCAGCGACGCCGCGGTGTCCCGCGCCAATGGACGTCCACGAAGTTTGCCCCGTCGCCTCTGATAATGTCGGTTAATATCATGTAAATTGTAATTAATATTCATGGGGTTAATTCGCCGCCGCCTGCGCGCTCGGCCACGAGCCGCGTCGGCTAAAGTTTTACCGAGAATTTACGTTTGCCGTGAACATATGGACCGTTCGTTACGAGACTGCCGTAAGTCCGTATTTTAAAAAACCGAGTTTCTGCAAGCATTGCTTAAAAAAGGCTTGTTAATTTCGTCTATGAACGAGTTTCAGCGTGAAAATTCATTTACGAACTCGTTTCGGTTCGGTCGACGACGAGAATGGGGATAGCTTTACGAGACTGGTGTCCGTAAACATGGGTGTCCACAGCCGTCCACTATCGCGATCTTTCGTTCCTAAATCAGCATTAAAACACGCTGTATTTTACCCAGTTTGGAAAGTTCAAAAGCCTGGTCTCTGTGATTGCAAAAATATATTTTATGGATTTGTTGCAAAAATACGTAAATACGGTGCCAGTCACTTCTTTAAAACTGCGCGTTAAACAGTCCACACACGCAAAGGATTATCGAAGGTTTATTCGCAGGTTTGATCGACCGTCCTTTCAGCTGGTCTTTTTCGCGAGAAAGTCGATCAAAACTGCGAACAAACCTTCAATAAACCTCAATTCTGTTGAAACCATTTTACGTTTCCGCGCGCCGCCGAACGAATGGCGTTTTTATTCTCATTTTTTCAAACGAAATCGATTGCTCTCTTAAGCGTCATTGGTACTGTATTAATAAAAATCATTTATTATATAATATAGAGTCAATGTCAGTTCTATCGACAATTTATCGCGTTTCGATCCTCAGTCTTGGAAACAAATTAATTTCTATACATAGTTTCTATGTTTTAGAAACACTGGTAATCTAAATTGAAATGCAAAACCTTCGTTAGACGGAACAAAGATGAATGAATTTACACCACTTTCGTAATGAACGGCTCATATTTCGTTCTGGCTTCGTCGTGGAATAAATCGCCACTCGTAAGGCGACCGCGGTGATTTATTGCCGAATTATGAAGAATGATCCAGCGATACGTGGCCGGTGCTTTCCGTCGGTGGCGATAAATCGACCGTGGTTTTTGATATTTCGTCCAACGGTGTCGATACGGCTTTTCAAGCTCCCGCGTTGGGTTTCATAGCTCTTACGTGCTCTCGGTTCTTATTTGTCGATCCACGACTCGATACGAGGGAATATCGCTTCGCTTTTATCTGCTGTTCTTCTAATTTATTACTCAAAAATCACAATTCTAAATATTTTAAAATATTAGTTGCACAAATGAATAATCCAAATTAGCTTAAACAGTTATAAAATCAAGTTTAAAGTCAATAGATTTGTCCGCTCTTTTGTGGTCATATAGTGTTGACATATAGCTAATTAAAACAAAAGATAGTTTAGCGAAAGGCCCAACATAACCTTCAATAGTATTCAATTCAGTAGAGTCGAAAATGGCAACAGATAAGGTGCATATCCGACACTGCATTCTTTACGAATTCCAACAAGGGAAAAATGCTGCAAGAGCATGCGAATCGATTTGTTCCTTTCTCGATGAAGGTGCTGTATCATATGATGTGTGCGCATTTTGGTTTAAGCGGTTTAAAAGCGATGATTTGAGTCTAATCGACAAACAACGCCCTGGAAACCCTCGGAAGTGCGACACAAACGCAAAAAGAACTGATAGAACAGTTAGGAGTAACCCAGCAAACGATTTTCAAACGCCTACGTGAGATGGGAAAGATCCAGAAAGAAGGAAAATGGTTTCGCATGAACTCACTGCAACCAACAAAAATCAACGAGTGGCAGAGTGTCTTTCTCTTCTCAATAAGCAGCGTCGAAAGTCTTTCTTGTGGAAAATCGTTACGGGCGATGAGAAGTGGATACTCTATGACAAACCGAAACGCAGAAAGTCATGGGTAAATCCCGGTGAAGCATCAACATCGGTTGCAAAACCCAATCGCTTCGGAAAGAAGATTCTTCTCTGCATTTGGTGGGATATCAAGGGTGTGGTTTATTAGGAGTTGTTGGAACCGGGTGAAACAGTTACTGCGGACTGCTACCAACGTCAATTAATCTACTTGAGTCAAGCATTGGAACGAAAACGTCCATGACAACGCCAGGCCACATATTACTTCCCATACAAAAGACACCATAATGAGTCTTGGCTGGGACGTCTTGCAGCACCCGGCGTATTCACCAGACATTGCTCCCTCTGATTATCACCTGTTCCGGTCGATGCGACACGCCTTATCCGATATGCACTTCCAATCAGTGGATGAGATCCGAAAATGTCTTGACGACTTTATCGGGTCCAAAAACGTAAAATTTTTCCAAGATGGAATTCATTAGATGCCTGAAAGATGGTTTAAAGTTATAGAAAGTAACGTCGAATATTTTGATTGAACAATTCAATTTACTTTCTTTTAAAATAAACATTGAATGTGGCTGAAAAAATTGGATTATTCATTTGTACACCTAATACAATAAGATTTTCCAGCAGAACCAAGCATGGTGAATCTTTAAGCATATCCATCGTAATTCTAATTTATAATTTTAATAAAAGGATCTATATCTCTAACAGTATATAAGAAATTAATTTTCCTGCAGAATCCAGATAGTTCTCCAATTTCTATAAGATCGACGAAGAAAAAACGTTCGTTTCTAATTCAATTACCGAATACAGGGGCAAGTATGCGGCCCTTCGGTTGCTAAACGCGCCGAAAGGCAACAAATTAGTCGCGATGCGATTAAGTTAACCGTCGCGGCATATATCGTGCGCTCGAGCACGGACGGTGAAATTACTTTCTCCGTGTCAACGGAAAGTAATTCGTGCAATCTGTTAACAAGAAGTTGCAATAACGTTCCATTACTCCTACCCGAAACATATTAATGGAGTTGTTCTCCCGGCTTTCCGCGGCCCGTAGACTTCCTAACGCGAATAAGACGCCCGGAATACATATTTTCGCTTTATTATATTATCCAACGGGCAAACCTTGGAAAATCCTTGAATATTTCATTCGGACCGCGCGCGTTTCTCGCGGGACTCGGGAACATTTCCCGACAATGAAATACGATGTTTGCTATAACTCGAACCAAATCTAGTGCCGAGTAATATAATTAAATAATAACAAAGTAACGAGTCCAATTCCGAGAGAAGCCACGGGCCACGTTGTTGCGTGAAATTATCTCGTGGTTTTCGAGATCCTGCCAGGCACGCTCTTCCCTTTCGAGCGTTCGTTTCAAAGTCCCTCGAAATTAAGGAAGTCTCCTGAAACGCGTCGCGTATCAAAATTTAAGAACAATACGCTGCTCCCGAAATTATCACGATTTAACACGATACTTGTAATTTTGATACGAACTACTTTCGTCGTAGCCAAACATTTGTAATATTTCTGATAATATGAGATACCATTGTTCTAAAATTGTATAAACCTAGGAAATGTCTGGAAGTAAGATTAATCGAATGTTAGTAACGTCTATGCTCGATAAAATAAAGATAAATTGTTCTGGGAACTAGTTAAACGATATATCAAAGCATGAAAATTTTGCAGGGCGATGGAAACACTGACGTTGATTTCCTGGTAATTTTGCCGCGTTCAAATTGCTTCCAAAGTATTTTACTCGCGCGATCCGCGTCAGAAAATATTTCTAAACGTTTGTACGTGCGGGGGAAACGACTCACCATGGATCACGCGGGTCTGGCAGTGTTCTGTGAACGGATATCAGGTCGCTGACGTACTGATTGAACGCGTTGTTGAGCCATCCGTCGTCGACCAGTTTTTTCATTTCGGCAGTCATATTTGTCGGTAAAATCACGGGCCTCCCATTTTCGCCCGGCGCGCTGGAGTCCTGTTCTCGCGGAGCAGCGAGCACACCACCTCCTGGGAGAAAAAAAAAACAGAGAAATAATATATTATCGAGAATGCCTTTTTAATAAAGGTTCACCAACTCTGGTAAACTGAGTATTAAGGAATTCTTGCTGGATTTTTCGTGATACTAAAATACCCTATTTAACGACAAGTTGCTTTTATAAAAGGCAAGCTAACTCCTTTTGCCTATATTCTACTAAAAGAATAGAGAGTTAGGTTGTCATATGCTATCAGATACGAGAGACAATGTTGGTTTCTGACTCATGTTTAACCAATCAGCTGTGGCGACCTCTTTTCGGAGTGTACACTTGTTTGTTTTATCTCGTTTTGACCTCCAAAGATTCTAAACATATTGAAATTTACGAATATATTTTAGTTTTCGCTAAAATTACTGACTGGTTAAATAATATTCAGTTCACTCTGACAGTTCCCCTACAAATTTTCCACTACAAGAATCACATTTATAAATAGACTCAATTCCAAAATTAAAAATTATCTAATCTCCAGATCGATAAGAAACACACTGATACCAAAGCCTCATTTTATTTTTCCAATATTCATACTTTGCAAGCGCGTAAATTAATTGACTTCGTGTGTTATATAAAAAATCGAACGTGTTAGAGGGATCGGAAACGAAGGCAAAGAACAGTCGATGGAGGAACAAGACGCATCATGGGAGGGGGGGGGGAGGAAGATGCGCGAATTGAATTTTCAGAACGTTCACATATCCGGGGGAAGCCGTCCTCGTTCTAAGAGCTTTCCCGCATAAACTCGAGTTTTATTTTCCCAGCGCCATATTGGCGGGGCATAGGTAAAGCCTAGACGGTAAGTGGCCCGCTACGATATGGCTGACTGGCGCGACTTCGCCCAGTTTTCTCGCCGTCTTGGCTCGTCCTGAAAATAATTTTATCCCGGGTCGACGAAGTTGGGCCCCGGTGTGTACGGCGCGGCAATAAAGAGGGCGACAAATTGCTTTAGTGTCGACCGGCCTGCTGCGAACTTCGCCGCAGTGAAACTCGCGTCGTGCATCACCGCCGCTCAACCTCTCGCTGGCCTTCTCCTTAAAAATTTCCACCCCCTCGATCCACCTGCGTTCGCCAACCCCTCGACGCGACACGCTCCCCTTTCGATTATACTTTCGAACGATTTCATTCCTCGGCTCTCGTCGTTCGAACTCGAAGGATACACCCTGTATATTCGCCGAAATTAATTTCAATTAATACCACTTATTTGAAGAAACGAGGAGCGAAATATCACGAAAACCGCAAAAATGTTCGAGCTGTAACACGGAGCAGTCGAACGACGATGGTGTATAAATTTTTGCAAATGAATGTGCCAGAAACATTATACCTTTATTACCTGACAACTCCAATATTCCACCCACGCATTAATTTGCCAGGGAAACTGTAATAAATGCGAACAATACTGTGAATTACGTGCATGCATTATTGCATAAATTGGATGCATCGCTTTTCAAACAGAAAGTTTAACAATGCTGTATAACCAGATACCAGTTTATTGCAAATTATAACATTAATTTGGAAACAGGTACAGAACGAACATAATGGGCGTAGATTTCTAGCGAAATTCACCATTGAATCCCGTTTTATTCGACGATTAACAATTCGTGCGCTTTTTCGAGACTCCTATAATCTAGATGCTTGGTATAAAATTACTTATTATTGCTTTAATAAGATCGTAATGCGATACACTTTCTTGCAGCGTTAACTGGATCTCTTGAGGACGAGATCTTCGCTTTTCGTTAAATTTCCTTCGCGAGACTAAAACGCGTTGTAACGAGTATAATCCGATAATATTCCCTAATTAGATGTATCAAATACACAGGACGGGGACAGTAAAGGCGTGCAAATGGCAGGTATTCGGAGTAAATTGTTAATTAAAATAGTTATAGAAAGCTGTTAAGCAAAGCTGTTTGAAGTCAAAGTAACGGCACTTGTTAAACTTATATCGCGTTTACTGCTTCCTTATAGCCTCGAACAATGTAAACTTTAAATTGCATTTTCAACTGTGCATCATTTTATTGCAGTTACCCAGGCTACCGTGGATGTTTAACGGTCAACTATACCTGTGTCGCTATCAGCGCATTAATATTGAAAGAAAACTCTGTGGAACTCATTAAAAAAAAAAAAGCCTATTTTCGTTTCGTTTTGAAGGGGACAGTACCTACTCGATCCTCCAGTTTTCTAGAATCCCGTACACTGTATTTCGAAGCCAACGCTAAGGATCCCTTTTCCCACGAGGATGGCCAGTTAACGACAAATTAATTACCTTGCTCCGGACCAGCCTGGACAACCTTGGACTGCTTGGGCTGCCCGTTGAACGGCGTCTCTTTCCTCAGGGCTGCGGCTGCAGGCACGAATCCGTTGGCCATTTGGGGCGCCGCGACGCCAGAGGGGGCCAATCCCTGTACAGCGGCGTTGGCGCGATCCTCCGTGTAAAGCAGAAAGCATACGGTGGCCCAAACCGCCGTGACCAGGACGGCCACCTTCAGCCACAGGGATCTCCTCCTGGGGAAACCCATTTTTTACACTCGTCCGGGTCCTCGTTCACCCGAATCCTCTTGGTCTCCGTCACCCTGTATCCTCCCTTTCGAGCACGGTTCGATTAACTTATCGTTTTCAGCCGGCTCGGGATATCGTGTTACCTCAGCAACATCCTCTTACTTCGTCCCTCTGGTCCTCGTCTCTTTGAAATTTCGCGCGGTCCACCGAGTATGTAGAACGGTTCACGATCCTCTCGCAGAGTCGTTTTCGATCCCACGCGATCGACACTCGGTACGACTCGATACGGACTGGATCATCGTTGGACGCTCATTTCCAATCGGTCTGCGATTAGCCTGGCGCGAGTAACTTTCGATTCGGTGAGAAATGATATGAATTGATATGTATCTTGTGGATCCAACGTCTTCTGTGTCACCGCATGTCCGCGTCCGCTGAAACAAAAATACTCCGGTTAGATATACGCGAGATGACTATTCGGAGAAGTATATTACTTAAGCGATACCACAGTCGCATGAAAGTTTAAAGTCGTCTTCCAAGGATAGTTCTGAATGCCGTAGGTGGGCTCGAGGGACTTGGAACGAGTATTAACGCGATGGCTAGTGGGGTTCACGGAGCGACGAAACTTACCTGACATTGAAATTTAACGAATTGTTAATCTACCCGCGGAGTGTTCTCGACAAGGTTTGCAGAAGGAGGAACACATTAAGGAACTGTTATTATTAAGTAACTAATTAAACGTCTGAAGTTGGACAAGTTAAGTGAACACCGTTTACGTTTTGATACCGTTGAAACTTTAGATCTCTGTTTTCTGTGTAACATTCATATTCATTAGCATGCATGTTGGTTTGGTACAATAGTTTGTCAGAAATTCTCGAGTTATGTCTAATTTAGCAAGAAAAGAAAGACGATGTAACAAACGAAGATAACGACAAGTAGTATATGTAAACGACTCAGAAAATTCACTTGTCAAACAATGAAAGTATTATTAACCGATTATTTAAAATATTATTATGGTTTTTCTAGACGTTATTGCGACTTTTAACTTCGTTTCTAACTTCTCTCTTCGTGAGAAGATCCAATGAGACGATCGATCACACAGTCGTTTGTATTCTGTTAGAGTGATGGAAAGTAATGCTGACAATGAGCAACGATCTTAATCAGGGAAAGTTAATCAGAGGATACGTGAACTTGAATCTTATTAGAAACGAGCTCCTTTTAAAACACCTTTCTTTTCCAGTTCCATTTCTTAAAAGCAACATTTTACTTTCGGTTTTAAGAAACATTATTTTGATTTTCAATTTTAGATTTCACACAGACAAGTCTGCTAAACTAATTAATTAGATAACTTTTAGTACCTAATTCATCGACTTTCCTGTAACTATTTCAATGCGTCGCTTAATTAAATTTACCTTTTCTCCATATTATTAAAGGTGAACACAGTTAGTATTCGGTAGATGAGAACGGTTTCCTCGTGTTTGAACTTGAAGGTTTAATTAACGCAAAACCGAGTATCTTCCTAGCTTATGCTTAAAATTATATTGTATCGTCGCGAATATCGAAGGAAATTTAGGAGCAAAACTGAGACGCCGTGAAATATTTACTAAAGACATATTTGCGGTACACTGGAGCAACGCACGGGGGAGACATACCCATAAATTAACTTACGCGAAGTAATTGAGTAATACATCACAGCCGGGATTTCATTAACCAAACTAAATAGCCCAAGGAAAATGTCTCGGTAAAAGTTTTGATTATGCTTCGAATACAAACATTCGAGTGAAATTCAATCGCTCCAACTAATAAAGTCATTCAATTAGCGATACGGAATATCGAATATTTAAAATGCATTTATCGGAGGGGCTATATTAAATTAACGAGGTCGTTTGTATTTTAAGGATGCCCACGTTTCTGAGTTGGTCCCTTTGAAACCGTTATTCGGATATTTATGGAAATATTCAATCTCAAACGATCGGAAAAAATTAAAAAAAAAAAAACTATCGATCGATTATATCTAAAATTCGAGGCAATTAATATTCGAAAATACAAGACTCTTCAGACACAAATAGTTTCAATTTCAATTCAGAACAAGTATGGTTTTTTTTAATTGCAAAAAGTGGTCTCGTAAGGCCAACAGATGTTAGGACAATTGAATTGAGCTTAATTATATGATTAACAAAGGCGCTACTGCGAAATAGATTAAGGAGTTTCGAAGTAGCGATAATACTGCCACGTTAGCAGCGAATAATCCATTGAACGCAACCGGCGACATTACAAGAATATTAAACACCGCGAAACTCTAAATAGAATTGCAACCTCGGATTATTTATTAACCATTTACTTATATTATCCAAAGAAAGTGTTATAAGTTGTTTTCTCAGAAATTAGCAAAGATATCTACTCCATTCTTTTCTTTTTAAATTAAATAATCCAGAATCCTTAAATGCAAGATAGCATTAGTTCGTCTTTCAAGCTGTAATTTGCACTCGAATTACATGCGTACAAAAACTAATTACGTTTTACACATTCTTCCATGAATTATTAATAAAGGAGAAAACCATCGATCGAAATTAATTGCTAGACAGTGATCATTAAACATTCTCAATGCTGGGATTGCTGTGTGAACGATGGCACTCGAAGAGTGTCCTTTATTACGAACTCTTATTAAAATGTCGACTAATTAGTCTGAAAAAGGTACTGCTAACAATCGAGTAAATTAAACGTAAAAACAACGCAAGCACCAGCAATCATTACGAGAGTTATTACAATTTATCTTGGAGATTCTATGAAAAATCGTGACAACGTCAAATAGAATTAATTTTAATTTGTAAATACCAACTAAATTACTGCTGAACATGTATTTTTACTTGTATTATTTTACAAGAGAAGTTCCATACGATGTACAATCCATTTTTACCAGGAACTTCACATCATAAAAATCACACGATAATTAAATAAATGTTAATATCAGTGAAAGAAAGCTTCTATGAATATTCTGAACATGAGACACGATTAATGGATTAATGGAATATCGTTCGCGAACCTCGACGAAATAAAATATCGTGTATCCGTGTTTTTCGCGAGTAAATGCACACGCGATCCGAAAGCTCATATTTATGAGCAGTATATTGTTTCCGTTAGCTCGGTAGAGCTTAACGCCGGATTAACACTGTTTCTACCACGATTTTCTGCGTCCCTGTTTCGACAAAAAGGTGAAAAATGATTTAATCAAAATAATTCCATGATAAAATTTGAAAACTGTATCGAAGAAAAATCTAAACAAACTTACCACTCGATTCGGATCTATCGAGTTGCAGATCCGTGGACGAGAAGAGAAGTAAATTTCCTACAAGGTTAATAAAATTTATAGTCCTTCGAGGATCGCACTAACCGTAACGAATTACCGCGAAACTTTTGAATAGGAAGGCGCACTTATTAGCCCCGGAAATCCACATCGAGTCGTTCATTAATAAGCGGAAAGCGCGTTTGCCTGTTATACACACGAAGACAACCGGAATAATGTAAGCGGAGAAGCGCGGAACGTGCTAATAGCGTTGCGACCGGCGTAACGTTACGTAAATCGCGAAAAAGCGAAAGAAGAATGGGCAGAGCGCAATCTTTGTCCGCGATCCGGCATTAGAATGCCTACGTTCGACATCGGAGAACAAAAGATACAAGATGCACGCGTATTCAACGAGTGTATCGGGTACCGTTATGCAGACGAGATTACCTTGCGTTCGATGCAGCCTGCTGCATTCCAAAAATTTCGACGACCTCCTCCTGCCTATGCAACACCGCCTTGCTTCGAGCAAATGTTTTCATTAACTCGGCCGAATCTCAGAAAGTTAGTTAATTATGCAGAATTTTCTGCGTCCTAAGAATTCCATAGACGATTCAAGAAAGCTGAATAATTTTATAGAGAATTCAAATAAAATGTTCATTTAGTGAACATTAATTGCACATATTCTTATTAGGATATAAGTTCATTTCAAACTTGACATAAACTGCAATATGATTTACTAATTCTTCAACTTTAAATATGGAACCTAACGCCTGTCAGATTGAAGGGTTCCGTGAATCTGGCATTAGAAATCCTAAAGATTTGTACGAAGAGTACTTTTTTGATACCAGGATCCGTCAGTGGCACGTCCCTCCGTGGCCATAATCTAGTAATATCCGTCACGCGGCAAACCGCGAACTTTCTATCCGAATTCCCCAAAGGAATCTCCAAATAGCGATGTTCCGTTTAAATTAAACGCGAAAGAAACGTCGACGGCGGAAGCGTTCCTGAGGGATGGAACTCGAGAGGCTGTCGAGCGCATTATCCGGCGAAGTTTAATCTCGCTCGTATCATAGTTGCATAGGTAGAAAACGTAACGCGGAGAGACGTCGTCGACGAGATAATTCGCGAACAGCCGGCAAAGGAACCGGACAACCGCGTTCACGAGCAGTTTCCACGGTCGGAAAGTTTTCAGTAGCGTCGAAGTCGCATAATAAATTCAGTATCGGGACTTCGCGGGGCCGGGAACGTACGGTGTTGTTCCCTCTTCCAGGTCGAAACGGAATTCAACGCCGGGGCGAACGAACGAGCCCCCAGGCGATTTCACCTTGGCGAAACGAAATTGTTTCATTCGCCGCCTCGTTATGCGAGCGCCGGGATAATACGCGCCTAGTCGCATCGGCAATGAGATTAAATTCCGCTTCATAGGACGCTTGGGAGACAGGCAATTTTGACGTATTTCAATTAAACGGCCCGGCGAATTCCAAATTCCGAATTTCGAATTCCAAATTCTGAGTTACGATCGAAGATACTGTGGATACTCACAGACTCACTTGTGTCTCTACGTAAGTATTTGAGCATGTGTGCTTGAGGGTTAAGTTACTCGCAATTAGATGGGAGAAAAACGAAAATGAACAGGTGCACTTTGTTAATAAAACTAAAATACATTTTCCAAATAAAATAATTTTGTTTCTGTCGTTTTCTATTTCCTAATTAATATCAATGATCACGTATGGGGAGACATTGTTTAGCCAGTTATCGGGGCCAGTTTACCTTTTGCCCGAGACCCGTGAAAACAAATATTCGAATACCGGGTGTGTTCCGTCGACAATCAATTTATACTGGGAAACGGCCATTGGCATTTTGCGAATCCGTCGACTCCACAGAATGGCAGTCGAGAGAAACGCGGCATTCGTGCGCACGCATAGAGTCGCTCGAGTGTCTGGCGGCGGAAGCGGGCTTTCGTCGGGTGCTCTTGGCGTCGAGAATCTTTCAGGATCCGGGGAGCGCAACGACGACGAGATTCCTCTTTCATCGTTACCCCCCGGCCCCCCGAGCATTGCTCGCGCCATTCCGAATGCAGCCCTCGATTCTCCCTGATACGGGTAGACGACAACTTTAGACAATTTCCGAGATTGCGTGCGCGGCGAAACT